TAAATGCAAATGAAGGGGCATTTATCTACCCCAAAGTGGGTAGGAATGATGAAATCAGCCTGCTGCTCCATACTGTGTTATCTCCTTATAGGCAAAGACCCTATAGTTTTGTTAGGGTTTGCCACTTTCTAGCCATATGATCTTAACCGTTATATGACCTCCCAGGTCTCAGTTGCCTCACTTGTCAAATAGAGGACAAAGTGTTATCTATTTTACAGTGTTAGTATAAGGACCGATCTATCCAAAGGCCTAGCAGAATGTCTGGCACATAGCAAATGCTCAGTAAGTGTTACTTATGCAGAGTCTTATCATAATTATAACCAGTATTATCTTTGTATCTCCAGCTCATAGCAAAGTACTAAGCACAGAGAGAGGGTAGGAGGGAGCCATGAGAGGATAGATGGACAGAGTATTACTTCTACTTCTAGCGTGTATCTTCTCTGACTTGCAGGCTGGTACCTAGAGACAAGCAGATTCCAGTGGCCTCTCTGGATAGAAGGGCACTGACCAGTTCTATGGATCCTAATACCTGACTGTAGGGAGGTCAGAGTGAATAAAAGGCATGAGATGGTGACTGATGATTAAAGTAAGTTAGCAGGGAGATTTGGGAGCCATATAAAGAACACAGGATTGGGAAGGAATTCTGATACCTCAGCTTGGGGATTAGATCTGCCCTTAATTAAATGCATGGCTCTGGGCAAGTCATTTCTTCTTTGAGCCTCTGTCAGAAGTAGGACGAGGGATTTTACATCTAATTCCCAGCACCATGATTCATGAGCTCAGGTGAAGGATGGTGAATGGAAAGGCTGAGCCCACCAGTCTGGGAGTGTGAGTGTGTATTCCGAAGTGATGGGCTAGCAAATGTTGTTTGGTCTCTAAACAACCCCCAATGGCTGGCCTGACACCAGCAAGGAGAAATGGGACATTCTGCCCACAGGAAGGGCTTCTGGTCACCCTGATCTCCAGGCCCTGATGGTAGGAAGGAAACTAGGTGGGCTTAGGAACTGCTGCCTCTCAGCTATTTCTTGCTCAGCTCTCTACTGACCACAAAGTATCTTGTAATGAAGACTGTTCCAGACCAGGCAGGTTCGTGTGTTTTCTGAACCTCTGCTTTGGTCTAATAATCTTTGGCATTCCCAAGCTGGCTGCCAGAGGTTGCAAAGTGAGTTTTTTTGGGTTGTTGTTGCTCTTCCTGGGTCCCCACCCCCACCCATTCTTCTCTCCCCAGGGCCATCTGAAGACATAAGCTGGTCTCATGACCAAGCTTAGGCAGCCAAGGGCAACTGGCCAGGACTGACTCTGGACATTACATAACCAGAAGGCTGTGGGTGTTTGCAAAATTGAATCCAAAGCAACAGGTTCCACAAAATTAGTACATGTAGCTGCAGGCCTCTGGACATGGGAATAAGGAAGCCTGGAGGTTGGCCTTGGGGATGTTTGGATACCACCATGGGCTGCATCATTCCCCGACTCCCTTCTACCTGGACATTGCGGCTTGTCTCCTCTGGGGAGTTTCCAGGCCTGTGGAGTTTCACCCTCATGTCCCTGTTAGATAAACATTCACCAAGTCCCTTTTGCATGCCAGGTCCTACCCTAATTGCTGGGGATACAAATATGAGCAGTTAAGTTAAAGGGCTGGACAGTTCCTTTGGACCTCAGCACACCCCACATTGAACTTCTGATGAGTCACACACACACATGCCTCTTCTCTCCCACCTTAGGAACTCTAGTTCCTAAATGTGGAAACTATCTCCCTCATAGCCTCCCTGGCTCCTGGCTGACAGCTCTGCATGTAGAGAGGTGCTCACAAAGATGGAGAGAAGAAACAGCTGCTGAGTTATTCAAGGTGAAGCCCCAGTCTTCTGTGTTAAGGCAATCACCAGTTCACCCTTCCATTGTATACCACCCGCTCCTCCTTACAGTTATCACAGCCCGCATCTCAGCGTGATCAGAATGCCTGAGCTAGAGAGGGGCATCAAGCCCAACCCCACACTGTTAACAGATGGCAAAACTGTGGCCCAGGAAAAGGGACAAGTTCAAGGTAAGCAGGCTATTTAGGAGTGAAGCTGAAACTAGGAGCCAGGTTCTCTAGATTTAAAAGCTGGTGTTCTTTTTCTTAAGACATACCTCCTTATTGTGCTTCATGATGTTCATATGCTAGGTAATATGTTTAATGATAAGAATATGCTTAGCAAATGTTGCTAATTAGCTAGGATGCAAGAAGACAATCAGCTGGGAAAATAGGGAAAGAAAGTGCAGTTCCTACCTTGGGATCAGCTTCCTGTGATCGGCACAGGTTTTGTGTAAAGATTTGAGGAGTGTAAACCTAAGCTGTAACCTCAGTGGCTGCTTGAGACCTGTAAGCACTGTTGAATCCAGGATAGTCAGAGCTCAGAAGAGTCTGTAGAGATGATCTAGTTCAACGCCCTGATTTCACATTTGGGAAGATTAAAGCCCAGAGAGGGGCAGTGACTTGGCCATGGTCTCATGGTTACCAGCTAACAAGGCTCACTGTCATCTGGCTCCAGAGCTGAGCCTCCTAACAAGTGCCTTGGAGTGACTACACCTGCATGGGCTCTGGGACAAGGCAGCCCCATGCCCCCCCCATTCATCCGTTAATGCTGCCTTAGCAGCACCCTCTCCAGCAGTCAGAAGGGCTGGGTCTGGCTGGTGCTTAGACACACACCCCAGTTCCAACCCACTTTGTCTCCCTTGGCCAGGTCTTTTCTGGCAAAAACCCAGAAACCCTCCTGGAGCCAGGCTGATGACATTACCTACCTTCATCTGCTTGATGGTGTAGACCAGTGTGCCGAAGGGCCCCTCCTTTACCAACTTCTTCCCCACCACCTTGGCCCGGATCACTGCAGAGACAGCAAGAGGGAGACAACAGGAGGTTAGGGAGGCCTCAGCCACATCAGGAACAGCATCTCAGGGCGGGCGTGCTAACCTCCGTGGGGCCTGGAATTGTTCTCTTACTTTGGAATAGATGATTGTGTTTATAAGAGTGGGAATTCCCGGCCGGGCGTGGTGGCTCAGGCCTGTAATCCCAGCACTTTGGGAGGCCGAGGCGAGTGGATCACAAGGTCAAGAGATCGAGACCATCCTGGCCAACATGGAGAAACCCCGTCTCTACTAAAAATACAAAAATTAGTTGAATGTGGTGGCACACGCCTGTAGTCCTAGCTACTCAGGAGGCTGAGGCAGGAGAATCACTTTAACCTGGCAGGTGGAAGTTGCAGTGAGTTGAGATCATGCCACTGCACTCCAGCCTGACAACAAAGTGAGACTCTGCCTCATTAAAAAAAAAAAAAAAAAAAAAGGACTGGGAATTCCCTGGGGTAAGAGGAAGGTTGGAGGAAAAAGCAGCAGCCACCATTCAACTTAATTACCCCAAATGTTCACAATTGCCAGCTCCAGAACTTCCTAGGCTATAGTCACCCCCTGACCCTGGGGGTTTTCCTGACTTTGTGGCTTTACCAAAATCCAAAATCTACTTCTCCTGTTAGAGCCACTGTCCCCTCTCCATTGCCCACCTGACAATGCCATGGCCTCCCCGAACTGTTCTCTTTCCACTAGGACCCCTTCCTAACCACCTCATTTGGGGCTCTTCCTTTGCATGCATTAACTCGCCACAACTTGACATGTCCACAGGATTGTGGTGCACCCCAACTTCCCACAGTGCCCCCAGTTAGCATTCTGGTTGAGCCATTGGTATCCAGTGCTTAGATAGCAAGGGATACAATAGAGTCTAAGCTTTACGGGGATGTGGTAGAAGAAGGAGCAATTGGGAGTGGGGGCTTAGGAGTCAGATTGAACTTTTCTGATCTTTGCTTCTGGTCTCTTCTTCTGTAAAACAGGAATCATAATGATACTAATCTCCTGAATTAAAGGGATTAGTCAAGATGACAAATGTGAAACTCTTGACACTGTCTTGGATGTAGCTTGCACTAAACAAATGTTATTAATATCATCATCATCACTATCATCACCAAAAATGAAATGGGCTAACCATGGAAGGACTGTTCCAATGAAAACAGCTCCCATGTATTGCATACCTATTATGTGCCATGTACTTTTCACTTATATACTGCTCTTAACTACCTTATAAGGGCAGTATTAGCATCCACATTATCTAGATAAGGAAACTGAGTGAGAAGTGAAGCCACTTCCTCTTTTGGAGCCTCAGTTTTCTCATCTGTAAAGAGGGTGTAACTCTCCTTACATCAGGGAATTGGAATGAGGATTGAACAAAATATCTTATGAAATTTCCCACTACAATGTCTGGCAGAAGGGAGTTACCTGGTAGATATTAGTTGACCATGAGTACAAAAATAATTACACCCAGTAGGTCGAGGGCTGAAAGAGAGATATTTACCACATGCACTGGGAACACAAAGAAGAGAGGACTTGACTTTTAGATTCTATCAGGCTGTGCTTCTCTTTCTACTTTGTGTGAAAAAGAAGCACCCAAGAGCTGTCTTCAAGTATTTGTAAAATCAGCCCACAGAGGAGCAAATGGACAGGTCTTGAAAATAAAAACTGGAAATTGCAGAGAGCAACATTATGGGCTCCACCAAAGAAAAAAATTCATCTAACAATAAGAACCAACAGCAAAAGGCAGGGGGGCTGCCATCAGGGCAGAGAGTGCCTCTATCAGGGGGTGCAGTAGGGGTGCTGAATGCTTTCCATCCTAGGACCTCAACAGAAATTGGAATGGGGCTTGCCTGTGCAATCATGCTTGGAATTACGAATTGAAATCCTTCAGCCCTGAGATCCTATCGTTCTTTCTTATCTCAAGTTGCGCTTAGCCCAAAAAGGAGTAGATAATACATGCTTGTTAAGTAAAATACCCTTCACACACACAGACACACACAGACACACACACACACAGACACACACACACACACACACACACACACATTCTGGTAGCTCCATTATCCTTCCTCATTGTGTATATTCCACTATGTTTCCCAATTCTTTGACTCTAATCTCTTTTTTTAAAAAAACTCTTTACTAAGAATGGATTCCACATTCCTACTGGATTCTGTCTTGTTTCTTTCCAAATGAGCTTGGATCCTACCCTTCCAGTCAGACATGAAGTCAGGGTTCAGATGAATCAATGGCCCCTTCAGACCTTCCCTGCCAGGGATGGCAAAACACATAGTCATTGGCAAAGTTAGCAATTTAGCTGAGGCAGCTCAAATTAGGAGGAAGCGAGTGGTTGTTTCCAAGTCTGCTATAAAAACGAGAGGTTGGCAAGATCCCAGGCCAATGTCTCTCAAGATCCTGCATCCACCTCTGTTTCTAACATTGCAGTAGTATTCTCGGCGACATGCCAGCCTCCCGGAGGCCCTGGGGACTGTTTCCTCTATATTAACTCTCACAGACAGGTTATAACAGCTTCACCTCTGAGCAGAGGCATATCTGTCAGGCCTTTATCACTGATTCTTCCTGAAGTGATTTGGACCCATCTTCCCCTGCTTCATTAACACAGAAGGTAAACAAGGGAGTGAGTCTTGGCAGGGAGGCAGGAGGGGCAAGGCAAAAGGCATTTCCTTTAAATAGCAACATCCTGGTTAAAAAATGGCTTGACTTGATTTAGACATAAGATGTTATAAGCAGACCTGACCCGTAAAGCTGGGTACTGCTGGAAGCTTCTGCACCTACAACCAACTCGTTTCCTTACCCTGAATGGCCTGAACTTGGAACCTTTTCATCTAAGGATAGTTTAGTGAAAAGAATACATTTTTGTAGTCAGAAACCTGCGTTGGTGTTTGGGTTCCACCATTACTGTATGATCTCTTTGGGGTTCTTTCCTCCTAAATCTCTCTGGCTTTCTTAGCCCAGTGCCTCTCATGTGGCTTACAAGTGATGTGCTTATTACTGGTGGGACAGCAACATAGTACTGCATTGAAAAGCCTAGTCTCCTGAGCCTGATGGCCAAGGTTCAAATCCCAACCCTCGTGCTGGCTGACCTTCAGGAAGTTGCTAACCTCTCTATGCCTTGGTTTCCTAATCTATAAGATGGGAATGATGGCAACAATGCCTCATAAATTTGCTGCAAGGGTAATATTAATATAAGCACTAAGAACAGTGTGTATTCCATCCCAAACCCTATGTGTTTGCTCTGTAAGCTAAGGCCTGGGAGTTCTTCCTAGGATGAGGAGAAAGGCAACCTCATACAAATATTCTAGACTTGCAGAACTTCAGAGAGAGGTGGAGAAGCACAGATGAAGTAGTCAGAACAAGGGTAGGAGGTATTTTGGGGCCAGGAGTGCCTATTCCATCACAGGTTCCCATCCTATCTCATCACCCATTTGTAACCCAAGAATGGCCTACCAGGACCAGCCAAACAATATCACAGTCATGGTTCCAAACATCTGAGGCAGAGATGGCCCAGTGAAGAGGCCACATCAATGTTTTTCTTACAAAAACAAAACTTCACCAAACTGAACTAAAATTAAATGACATTCTGCCCTCCAAATAGATTCTCAGAATCCTTCCAAAGTAGAATTGCTGGCCAACCCGAGAGCCTCCTATTTGGTTTGTGTATTAATATGTCTGTATTGCTCCAGTTTCTCCTCTGTAATTCAAATGTGTGCTATTTTGTACTTTCCTGTTTGGCAATCAGGGTTCTCCAGAACCTGGCCTAGGGGCCACAGGGAACAAGGGAAGTGGGGATAGGGGAGGTTGTGGTTTTCCTACAACAGAAGACACTTTTCAAACTGGTAGCTGGCAGCATGTCCAGCCATTCCTTCCACCTTGTTGTGATGGCTAGAAGCCAACTTTACAGATGGGAGAGGCTGGACACAGGTTGTCTGTATTCCCAATCATGCTGGAGTATGGCCCGACACTGTCCACCCACTGCCCCATAACAGCCAAACCAACATAGGCGTGAACTAGGTTGGTGTCTGGAACATTGGGTTGGGTGCTGGTGAGGGTGACAAGAAATAGAAGTCCTATTTCCTGCTTCCACTAATGGCTAGTCCAGTGGGGAGATGAAGTTTAAAAGTTTATGGCTATAGGACTAATCTCCAAGGTACAGAAGCGCCAGTTAGAGAAGGGAGAGGTGGAGCGCAGCCTGAATCTCAGCCTCTGAACCTCTCTTGTCTCTCTAGAATCTCTTTTGCTCTTAGAAAGAGAATCTGGGCTTCTAGGGGTATGGCAGTCAAACAAGGAAGAGGCTGGGTGTGGTGGCACACGCCTATAATCTCACCACTTTGGGAGACCAAGGCAGGGGGATCACTTGAGCTCAGGAGTTCCAGACCAGCCTGGGCAATACAGTGGCACCTTGTCTCTGCGAACAATAAAAAATTTAAAAAACTTGTTAAAATTCCCAGGGCATGGTGCCATGTACCTATAATCTAAGCTACTTAGGAAGCTGAGGTGGGAGGATTGCTTGAGCCCAGGAGTTCGAGGCTACAGTGAGCCATGATCGTGCCATTGCACTCCAGCCTGGATGACAGAACAAGACTCTGTCTCACTGGTTTAAAAAAAAAAAAAAAAAAAAAAGACCAACAAGGAAGAGATTGATTAAGGAATAAGCAGTATTTTAATGTAAAAGTATCTAAGAAGAAACTAACTAGGATGTGTGTGCTTAAATAATTGGCACATTGATCTGTAAATATACATGGGGCCCTCTTGAATATATCACGCACCTGAGAAGCCAGGCATAAAAGTATATCTCTATTGAACTGTCTTTGCTTCCTTTGAATATTTGTTTGGGGGAGAGTGCTAGTAAGAGCTTACAAAAGCAAGGCAAACAAGGCACACATCTTCCATAAATATAACTTCATGCTGCCTCTCCCCACCTCTAGCTCTAGCAATGTGGACCACAGTGGCACAAGTTTTGAACAAAGAACAATTTTCCAACGGCAATTGGGATTGAGTTTCCAGCACAGCTTACTAGTATGTCTCCAGAAATTGCAAACGTGCTGTTCATAAGCATATTCAGAGTGGGGGAAGACACCCTTGAGCTGCCCTCCCTTTCTCTCTCTGCTTCCATCCCCCATCCAACCATCATCAACCGAACCTAGATCCTTTTTCCCCCTGAACTGATGGTTGGATTTTCCTGCTGGCAGGCTAGAAAGCCAAGCAACAAGCAACAATGCTACCCATTTGGCTGGTCTGAGGATCAAGGACTCCTTAACTAATTAATGCATACTAACTTAGGACTCTGAGTTCCGCCCATGGTAGCATCAAGGGAAGAGCATTACAAATCCTCTCCATGAATTAGGAGTTGATTCACACCACATCACACACACACACACACACACACACACACACACACACACACACCCATTCCTGTCTCTCCCTTAGGCCCTGTAGAATGATTTTGCTGGTTTAAGGCATGGTTTCTAGAAGGAGAGCAAGGATAAGTAAGGCACATCTGGTTAGCAGGTAGACTGCATTTCTCCAAAAGCAGAAGTCCCTGTTAGTGTCAACCCTAGGGAAGGGGCTGCTCTTCTCACGGGAACCCAGCAGGCAGGTTCTAGGTAAAAAGAAAAGCCTGGACCATGGGCCCAAATTTTGGGCATCAACTTGGAGGAAAAGAGGGATCTGGAAGTGTTAGAATGATGCCCACCCCATGAAAGCACACCAAAAACGAGGAAAGAGGGATCTCCGTCACCCAGCTTGTCTCATAGCCCCTTCATGTTTATTTTATCATCTCCCACAGGATGACAAAAGGAGGGGTCTTGCTGATGCCAGAGTGCTCCTGGCAAAGGCAATTAAGTCAGGGCCCCACAGGGAGGCTGGCCTGGAGCCCACCAAGCCAGTCTTTTTCCTGCCCACCTTGGACACTCCACATTGTAGCCTGCCCAGGAGGGCAGAGCCAGGCTCTCTCACTCTTCCAGCTGCCCACCCATTCAAGAACTACGAACTGCTTGCTTTTCTTAGCATCACATCAGTGAATCTAGAGGAGAGGTAAAGGAACTAGAACATACTGATAACAACCACTACTATTTATCCTATGCCTCCTAGGTGCCAAGCAATGTGTGCATGGTTCTTCCACTCTGTCCTCATGGTAACCGGGTAAAGTGGCTACTGTTGTGGCTATTAATGTCCCTATTTTCCAACTGTGAAAATGGAGATCAGGTAGCCTGCAAGGAGTTTTGAATCCTAGTGGAAAAAAAAAAAAGAAGAGAGGTCCCCCAGGACAGCAGACCACCTTAAAACCTTTACAAGGGATTCACACTTGTTGCAAAATAGTTCATAATTTTACTGCATCACCCCACTTTCACTGCAGAGGATCAGAGAAGAAGACTTATACCTAAAAGGAAGGACCCTTGATAAGCTCCCAGCGAGCTCCAGATTCCTTTCATCACCCACCTACCACCCTTCCCAATCACTTACACACACACACACACACACACACACACACACACACACGTCCTCTGATTAGTAATAAAAATCTAGAAGTAATTGCCATCAGCAATATAACAATATATCATATCATCAGTTAGCCTTTTGTGTTCTCCAGCAAGGCTTTCATGGAAGAAAAACAAATAACTTAGAAACCACAAAACCACACTCACCCTAAGGTTTCTCCCAACACTGGGAGTCTGAGGTTAATTAGACTGATTAATTAAATGAGACAATGTATACGTACAAAGGTACTTTGTAACCCTGAAGCTAGACAGATGATACACTGTTATATTGCTGATGATGATTACTTGTAGATTCTTATTCTATCAAAAGGGGATAATAGCAGTTCTCGGTTCATAGGGTCAGATAACAACTGTTCAGCAACCAGGAAGGTGTTTGAGTATTGTGCTAGAAGTATATAGGGATATGGAGATACATAAGCCTCCTAGGAACTCAAGAGCCAGAGGTAAGAGAGACCGGCAATAACACTCAAGAAAGGCAGGCTCAGCAATATAAGTCAGGATGGAAATCCAGGACAGAGCCAAGAGGACATGAAGTCTGTCTCAGGGGAGGGGTGTCAGGAACGCACCCCAGAGATGGCATCACATCTGAGCCTCAGCCCATCCTGCAGAAGAGACTCAGTTTGCTCTGTTTGACTCAGTTTAAGGTAGAAGTCTAGACCTGATCTGGGTAGGGGGAGGTAAAGAGAGCATCTGGAAATGAGGCAGAATCACAGCTGGGCTCTGAGCAAAGCCAGAGCAGATATCCTGCCTTTCCAGGAAAATGATGACTCCCCCTTCCCACCGCAAGACCACGGGGCCTGGGGCTGGGGGCAGGGAGCAGCGAGCGGCCTGAGTGAAGAGGAACTCTCCGCTCTCCAGAAAAGTCCCACAAATAAGCTCTTCCTGCATCCTACCCTGATCCCCCAGGGCCGTTCTCTCTTGTCCATTTCAAAGGCCCTTTTTGTTGATGTCAAAGCCAAGGCCAGACCATTAATATGCACTCCCCATCAAGATAAGGAGTCCCAGTTCAAAGCCTGTCCTGACTAACTCTTTCCGTTAAGTAAAAATATTAATCTTGGTTTTATTTAAGCAGGTTTTTTTGGCAAGAAATGAACGCCTGTGGCTAAAAATAAACCCAAAGACACACACTCAGAAAATCTGGAAAGCTGCAAATCATTTCAACCCAAGTTTCCATCTCAGGGAAAGCTATTAAACCTGGAGGATATGAAAACCTCCCTGCCCAGGCACTCCTGCTTCTCAGTGCCTGCCTTGTGTTCCGGGGTCCCCAGGGCAGGTCTGTCCTGGGGATGCCCTATCTTGAACCTCCTGGGGAAGGAGACGAGGAGCCTTTGTGAGCTCCTGGCTCTCCTCACCTTGTGAGCAGAATGGATTTCTGCTTGAGTGGCCTGGGAAACACTCAGGGCCTCTGCTGACATCTGTTGTAGATGAAATGAAAAGCCAGGGAGGGGAGGGAAGGGAACACAGGCTCAGGAAGGTCAGGCTGCCTGGAACTTTGAGATTGCCCAAAAGAATACAACACAAAAAATCGGCATCCCATGCTGGCTTTCATGTGTTAAGCCACAACCTCAATTTTACACAATGAAATGACCAAATTTAAGAGTCACTCCTTCTAGGTATATGCCTAGACTTGGGATGAATGCATTTGATGTTTAACTGCTTAAAGTCAGCTACACTCGATTTCTTCCTGGAGCCACCAGCAGTTTGGGAGAAAGGTACAGATCCCTTGGCCTGGAACAGGGCAAAAGTCCCAGGGCTGGCTGATTCCTGGTTTCAAGGCCAACTTACCTGGAGAGGGAGGACTTCGAATCTCAGAAAAGTGATGGTGTTTCTGTGACCTGGGTTTCTAAGGGTCCAATGAGGCAACTGCCCCAAAGTGTTCACCAAGCATGATTAGAATCACTGAGGCTTTTACTCTGTAAAGGGCTGTCAGGTGAGAAATGTCAAAGCCCCAAAGGATAGACAATGGGAAACACAGTCCTTCTCCCATAAGTCCCCGACATTGTCCCAGGAACAAATGGGTTCCACAATCCTCATTTACATCCTCACCTACACCTTGGGTTTGCAGCATCCATGGGATTATTACACCTCCCTTGGGTTTGCAGCATCTACGAGATTATTCTGCATTGCTCAGGGACATATATATGGCCCTGCAGAGCTGGGACTACACCTCAAGTCCTCTTACTCTAAAGCTTCCAGCCCATGTCACTATATGAACCTGTCCTATGGTGCTCCTTGCCTGGGTGAGAATCACTTCCTCCTTGTGCATCTGCCTGCACCTTTGGCTTCCTGTAAATGCCACCCAGCTGAAATGCCACCTCCTACAGGAAGCCGTCTGCCCACCCCAGGCCAAGCTAGTCCACCTCTCTTCTGCTCGACTTTCCTCTCTTTCTTCCAGCATGTGTTCTTCTTTAACGATCAGTTCCTTGGACACTCACTAGCATCACTAATTACCAGATGGCAGGGACTACATGTGAGACTCCAGCACCTGGCATAGAGCCTAGAATGTGGCCAGGGTTCCCAAAAATGTTGAATGAATGAATGAGGCTGTGGGAGGGAACCAGAGGTAATACAATAGCAAAGACGGGGGATGGTTTTGTGTTTGGCTTCTTGGAGTGCTGGGTCAGGAGTTCTTGTTCCATAGGGTTACTCAGAAAAGGAAGAGGCAGGTAAAAATGTAATCTGGAGGAGAACTTGTTGATGTGTCTATGGAAGGACAGCACCCAAATACTACCAAAACATGAGGAACCCAAGGCTCAGCACCCTAAAGGAAGTCAGTGGTGACACCAAAATTAGCCCCAGGGAGTCTCCACCCAAGGCACTCCTTGTCAGACCTGCTGACTCCTCTACAGGCCTCCTGGCCTGCAGCTGCCCCTCTTCCTCATGGAAGCTCTCAGGAAATATGAACAGCCTGGCAGGCTGTTTCTTCAGGCCCCATCTCCAGGTCCTGTGTCCCTCTCTGCCTTAGTGTTTGTTGTTTGTTTTATTTTGTTTTGTTTTGCCCTCCTACTCCCACTTCTCCTCCCCTTTCTCCTCCTCCTCCTCTCCCTCTTCTTCCTCCTTCCCATTCTCCCCTTCCTCCTCCCCCTTTGCCTCCTCCTCCCCCTTCTCCTCCTCCTCCTCCTACTCCTTTTTCTTTTTCTTCTTCTTCTCAAGTATACTTGAAATTCATTGATTCACTCATCTACTATTTATTCAGAAGTATTTGAGGAACTATGCATCTCAGATCCTGTGCCATGTCTTGGGGATTCAGTAATAAGCAGATGGACAAAGTTCCTAGCTTTAAGAACCTTATTTTATTCTTGTGAGGCAAGAAGACAGGTGGTTATAGTTCAGTGAGCCACAGGAGCCTGCAGTAGACACACCCGGCCAGCCTGGAGGTGCTGGAGGGAGACATCCTGCCTGAGAGGGGATCAGAGAAATCACTAGAGACAGTCAAGAGAAAGAGAAAGGAAAGGCCCTTCTGGTCATGGTTGAAGCAGAAGGAGAGGCCTGGAGGCTGGAGAGTCTGGCCCATTGGAGACACAGAAAACATAAAGTCCAACAAAGAACAGGTGGTAATTCCCAGCCTGGTAGGTTGGGTCTTGCTCCAACATGGGACAGTGCCATTTCTTGGGTGGCTTCTACCTGAGGCCAGTGATAAAGACTTATCACTCTGTTACTGCCCATAGACTTTAGGATTGCATGTATCCAAATGGATGCCCAAACAGTCCATTGATAAGAGGCGCCCAAAGCCCCAAGAAACCCCTAGAAACAAGTCTGGGTCTTTGCCTCAGACCCACAAATTATCTCATTCCAGTGCATATCCCATTTCTAATCTTCAAAGTGAATATTTAATGAATCTCTGTCTCCCTCTATACCTTCTCTCCTCCCAAGCCTTTTCAACTCTTGGAGTGGTTTTGCCTTGGGTGTTATGGCTGGGCATCTGTGCTGTGCTCTGAGGAAACACCAAGTCTAAGGGGCACACTAACCTCTCAAAAGATTAAGTCCACTCAGGGGTCAGAGGCGCCGACTTGCTCACTGCCATACACATGCACTCGGTGAGGGAGGCTGAGACCACCCCCATCCCCTGAGAGTGCTCTAGCCTCTCCACAGGAGCCCATGGGAAACTTTATCCCACACAAGTGGCCACCAGAATAGCAGCATGGTCTTCAACCACAGCCCCTTTGAAGCAGTGCCCAGAAAAATACCATGCCCTCAAACGGTTCTCAGAACTTCTAGCTTTCAGGTCGGGGCATTTGTGAAGCCCAAACAGCTGGCAACATCTCAGGAGCCATCTATAGCATTTTGTTTTTCTCCTAATTGGGATTTTGTTTGCTAGGAGTGCTGAGGGACTCTGGGATAGGTCTAGGAGCAGGTCCACGGTTAGCCAAAGGACCACCCTCCTTTGCACAGTAGACCTGCGGATGCGCCTTTGCAGACAGTAAATCTGTTCCCAGAATGCACCAGGAATGGGCAGGAGATGTTCTTGTGGTTTGAACAAGAGTCAATGGCTGCTCTGTCTCTGGAGTTTATACAGCACAGATGCCAAGGAGACTCTGGTACATCTATAACTTACTCTTCCTGTGACTTTAAAAATAGTGTAGGCTTTCCTCACCTTTAAGTTCCACAAGCTTCATCCTGAAAGGTCCTGGACGCCCAGGGACATGGTTTGGAAGGCCCAACTGCTTTAGCAGGTGTTCCCTACCCAGGCTCACGCAGTACCTCCCCACCAGCTTGCAACCACGTCACTCACATAGTGGGCACTCAGATAGAAACAGGTGTGAGAAAAATGAGCCCATACATAGGTCTTCAAGCCCTAAGACTGTTATCAGGAAACCATGATGCTGATGGTATGGAGGAATGATTAGAGATAAGATCCAAGTCCTTTTAAGGAAACCTTTGTTTTAAATAAAATAAATAAGTAAAGAATGCTAACTGCTGCCCTCTTTGGTCAAAGTAGGTAATGGCAGAATCATAAAGCCAAACCTCTTATTTCTGCACAACTTGCCCTGGCCTCTCAGTGTGACAGGGAGATGGAGTTATTGATAAAGAAGAAAAAGACCATCTACCCTATGAACATCTTGTCTGTGCAATCATAGTGCTAAACCTTTTATTCATTCAGTATTAATTGAGTGCTTACTATGTGCCACACACTGTGTCAGGTGGCAGAAACAGAAAAGCAAACAAGACAGACACACTTTACAAACAGTATCTCTTATTCTTAAAACCAACTCCCAAAATGTGTAACTTTCTTTCCACTGAGTATAGAAAGAAAACAAGTCTCAGGATCATTAAGAAACTTGTCAGAGGCCACACAGCTGGGAATCCAAATATGCCCAGCAGCAAAGCTCATTCTCTTTCTACTACAAAACATTTAACAAATCTGAAACACCCCACCCAGTCAAATGCATTGGAAATGCAGACACAGGGAAAATTCCCAAGGCTGAATTATGAGAGAAGGGCTTGTATAAATCACAGTTGGTGAGAACTCTGAGGTGGAGTTAACTCCCCATAACTCTTGTAATGTCTAAGAATCTCATCCAGTGGTGAAGTCTGGATTCAAATCTCCACTTACAGGCTGGGTGGACCCCAGGGCTCTCAATGCCAGGTTGAGGGTACCTTAGTTTGCAGACAAAGGGCAGGAAGAGAGAAGTCCAGAAGCCCCATGGATTGAAGACAGGGAGCTCAGGCCTTAGGACCAAAGAGAATGGCAAGGGGCGAATAAGCATACATTTTTGGACATCTGATCGGCAGCCCTGGTCCAAGTTTCTCAGTTGCAAAGCCTTGGGGTTTTGCACATGCCATTCTATCTGCATGAGGACCCCCTTCTGCTCCCCATTACCTATCAACTGCTGCTCATACTTCACATTTAAAATCAAAGGACACTTCCTCATGTAAAGCCATCCCCAGCCACCTCCTGCAAACATCAGACTAGAACAGAACCACTGTTTTCTATTCTCAGGGGCCCTGGTGTATATGTAAGTATATGTTTGTAGATTCATTTGAGTAATGTCTGATCCTCATTCCTCCCTGCCCCACACACTCACTAAATTCTGCCAGGATTACATCTTGCTTTGCTTACCATTGTATCTAACTGCAGCATCTCACAGTGTCTGGAACATAGTAGGTGCTCAGTAAATAGTTTCTGGGTGAAATAAGACATCTTCTCCATCTTGGCCTTATTGATTGCTTCCTAAGAAGAGTCTATCACCCTGTTTTGCTCTGCTGTGCACTCCCTCACTCACTATATGCAACTAGCTGTAGCATTCCAATGCCAGTTCTACTGCATGAGCTGACCCAGAAGAATGTGTAGGGTTTTGATCATGGAAAGAAAAGAAGGAGGACAGTCCAGGCAATGGAAACAGCACAAACAAGGGCACAGCAAACAAACCAAGCATGGCATGTCAGAGGTCACATGGCTGAGGACTGCAAAGACCCTGGCTGGAGAGAAGAAGAGGAGGCCGCTAGTTCATTCTGACTGAAGCGAATGTCCAGTTTCTTGGGTGACAGACATAAGCTTGAATGGAGGACTCCTTAGGTCTGTTCCACAAACTAGGTCTGTTTGTAGATCCAGCAGTTTCTGGGTCTCATACAGACCCCTCTCTAGATACCAGAATGGTGCCCTGTATGAGATGGGAATCATATTTTCTGGGAGTATGGGCCACCTGGAGTGCACCTCTCCCCAGACAGCATTGAGCTGGCTATCTCTTTGAAGAGGAGCTGTAATGATAAACTGCACATGCCTGCTTCTGGACACTGGAGTCCTCTAGTGCAATTACCACACCACAAAGTATCTGCAAAGCACACATAGTACTAGCCACCTCCCCCTGCCACCTCCACTGCACATCTGAAGGCTGGTAGGGTTTTGCCTAAGTGACCAGTGACCGCATGTGACACTTCTGGCTCTGCCTGCCCATGGGAGGCTCCTATTAAAAGGTGGGCTCCGCCAGGTGCAGTGGCTCACGCCTGTAATCCCACCACTTTGGAAGGGCAAGGCAGGCTGATCACCTGAGGTCAGGAGTTTAAGACCAGCCTGGCCAACATAGTGAAACCCCGTCTGTACTCAAAATAGCATGCCAGTCTGGTTAGCCTGAATTGGGAGCCCCTCCTTTTCATCTCTGGGTCCTCCCTGCCTTCCAAGCATGTTTAAACTACAGCACAGTGGCATGGGCACATTTCACAGGCCACAGACGCTAGGTTGGGTGGGACCTGCAGAGTCACTCAGTGTAATCTCCTTTGAATTTATTCTACAGTCCCATTCTAAGGATAAGCTGCCCAGTGTGCAACCATCTCTGACCTAGGTCAGCCTGTTCTATGTCAAGCCAGTTTTTTGACTGTAAAAAATTCCCCTTTGGACTGCCTCCCTGTGGCTTTCTCCCACCTAGTTGACATCTTGGGCTTCCAAGAAAACAAGATACTTGAAAAGAGTGGTTGTGTTTCCAAGATAATCTCCAGGATAAATATTTTCATAGATTTGGATGGTCTCTCCCTGCTTAAGACATGGTCCCATGTCCTTTGACCATCTCAGCCTTGCTGGGGGCCAGTGACTCTCTAATTGCTTTGTCAAGGGATAAATGCAAATTTCTCGGGAGCCACTGGTCAGTATACAAAGTTGAGAGTTCACCTTCCCTACCTGGAATATTTTTACTGCTGGTAGGATAGCTTATGACTTTACCATCATCCATTAAGTACTTCTAGTGTTAAAACATGTGTTAAGATGGTAGATCTTGCTGGGCACAGTGGCTCGGGCCTGTAATCCCAGTCCTTTGGGAGGCCAAGGCAGGTGAATCCCTTGAGCTCAAGAGTTTGAGACCAGCCTGGGCAGCATGGTGAAACCCCGACTCCACAAAACACACACACACACACACACACACACAAATTAGCTGGGTGTGGTAGTATGTACCTGTAGTCCCAGCTACTTGGGAGGCTGAGGCAAAAGGATCACTTGAGCCTAGAAAGTTGAGGCTGCAGTGAGCCAAGATCATGTTACTGCATTCCAGCTGAGCGACAGAGTGAAAAAAGGGGTGGGGGGTGCAGATATATCTCACAT